TTAAAAAAAAAAAAAAAAAAAAAAAGAAAAAAAAAAAAAAAAAAAAAAAAAACATACCTTGTAGTCTATCGAACTCTGCGGGTATTGAATTTTTATGAATACCTAAATGTGCAGGTAAAGAGAAACGATTACAAGGAAGATTATCATTATTTATTTCTTTTTCTTCTTCATTTTCTTCTTCTTCTCCTTCTTTTTCCTCTTTTTCCTCGTCTTCTTCTTCTTCTTTATCTCCTTCTTCTAAGCTATTAAATGAGGTATTTATATGTATAGATGGCAGTACGCCACTCTCCATGGCGATAAGGATATAGGAAGGAATACCTGTCTATGGGCACAAGAAAAAGGGAAAATAAAAGAAAAAGGATAAATAAATAAACATATTCAAATAAATTCCTCAATAATAATCAATAGTCGTCTTATTTAGATGCATGCAGAAAGATAAGCAACAAAAGGGGAGGGGGGCCCCCCAGGGGGCCCCCAAGGTACGCTGCATGCACGGGAGAGGGGGGATAAATATAATAATGAGGAAAATGTTGGATTCAAACAAAACAAGAAAAAAATAAATAAAAATTGAATTTTAATTTCTTTTATTTTTGTATTTAATTTCCAATTTCTTCAGCTTTCTTGAAATAACAACGAATATTGTCGGTTCTTGCACTCCCTCTGCAGGTTTTTGCTCGTTTGTGAAAGGAAAAAAGACTGAATAAGAAGCATTTACTGGTTGATGACTAAATAATAATAAAATAAGAGAAAAAAGAGTTATATTTCTGCATAATTGAATAGAATAGTGTTGATTTCCCATTGCTTTCCATCTTTTTCCTGTTTTTTCCTCAACTTGTTGAGGTGCCTATACACCGCAAATGTCGGTACTTTTGCAGACATCATTAGGTGATTTAACAATAGATTTATTTGTTGATCGTGTTCCTTTACCTTGTTATAATTTTTTAGGTTTAGTAAGAAGTAAATATTACCACAATACAATAATTCATTCAATAGAGAAGAATTTTATTGCTCGTTGTGGTAACCCAGCAACAGCAAACTTATCATGGGGAATAGGTATACCTACTTCTTCCTCTTCTTCTTCTTCTTCTTCTTCTTTTTCTTTATTAAATAATAATAATATACTAAATAATAATAATAAACAAACAGATGATGTAGGCTGTAGTATATGGGGTTTACGTCATTTAATAAGAACAAATCAATTAAATATAAATAAGAAAGAAAAAGAATTAATAAAAAGAAGAAAAGAAGAAGAAGAAAAAAAAGGAAGAAATAATTTATCTCTTATTCCTTCATCAATATATGCAGATATACCTTATGATATAATGTCTTATTCATCATTTCCTTTTAATGAATTAAATAATATAAATATAAATAATATAAATAATAATAATAATAATAATATAGATATAGATAAAATAAATAAAGAAAATAATAATAATAATAATACTCTTCCTTCTTCTCGTTATTGCCCATTGAATATAAATAGGAAGATAAAACATATAAATAAGGGAATGATAGGTATGTTACCCTTTGTATTAAATAATAACACTAATAATAATAATAATAATAATAATAATAATAATAATAATAATAATAATAATAATAATATAAATAATAATATAAATATACAAGGAGGAACAAGTTGTTTTTATATAACTCTTTCTTCTTATATAAAACAATTAGATTATAATTTCTCTCTTTTTGGTCAAATTGTTGAGGGATTAGATATATTAGATAAAATTAATAATACATTTGTAGATAATCATCATATTCCTCTCAAGGTAAGCTCCTTCTTCTCCTGCTGCTGTTGCTGCTGCTGCTGCTGCTGCTGTTGCTGTTGTTCGTCGTGGTCGTGGTGGTGGTGGTGGTGGGGTTGTTGTATGTGTTGTAGATGTGGAGATACACCAGAAAAGATCAATAAAATATTTATTTATAAGTAGTCTTATTATTCCTCTATCTGCTGCTGCTGCTGCTGCTGTTGCTGTTGCTCCTGCTGCTGCTGCTGCTGCTGCTGCTGCTGCTGTTGTTGTTTGTTGCAGCCTGTGCGTATATATCGTGCGTATGTACTTGACGATCCTTTCTTTTCCTTATCCAAGCCTCTACCTCCTGCAGGTGCAGCAGCAGCAGCAGAAGCAGCAGCAGAAGAGGATGAAGCAGCAGCAGCAGCAGCAGCAGATGCAGCAGCAGTAGAAGAAATAGAGGAAGTAGATAGCAGCAAATTAGGATTTATTCCTCCTTCTTCTCCTCTTCCCTTATTAGATGATGAACTTAATGACGAAGAAAATGACGAAATTATGGCCATAGAAAAAGTTGATCATAAAGAAGCAGAGGCAAGAAAAGGTAATTTATTTATCTATTTATTTCTTCTATTTATTCAACTTAATTAATTATTTTATTTATTTATTTATTTATTTATTTATTTATTTATTTATTTATTTATTTATTTATTGTTGTATAATTAGTATAATTAGATAGATATAGGCCGTAGAAAATGTTGATCATAAAGAGGCAGGGGCAAGAAAAGGCAAATAAATAAATAAATAAATAAATAAATAAATAAATAAATAAATAAATAAATAAATAAATAAATAAATAGTTTATTTAATTGGTTCTTTTTCTTATGCATATATATATAACATCTTTATTATCTTTTTTTTTTTTGTATTTTGCTGGTTTTTCTGCTGGTGCTCCCCCTCCTCCTTCCCCTCCCC